ATTTGCCACTCTTATCCTTGCGCTGGCTGAGAAAACTCCAACTTATTATTTTCCCTCAAATAATTTTTAAATCTTCAGAAAAAATAGTGCAATAAAATTACATTTTTCAAAAAAATTTTGCAAACTAATACTTTTAATAATCCACTCCAATACTTTTTTTTAGTTAAAATTTACTTCACATTAATATAATCTTTAAATGCAAAAACTGGGAAATTTTAATAAAATTGTTGTTAAAAAACATTTTTTCTAAGTACCAATAATAATTAAAATTAAATTAAATTAATTTCGCAAATCATAATTTTCACTCACCATAACTTTCTTGCAATCGAATCCGAATTTAATACATTCTGTCACCGGCCGCGCGCTACTCCACACACACAGCGAGACACACGCTTCGAGACACAGTTAATTCCAAATCGAAATCCAAAATCTTTGCTTGGAGACCGCGCACAGCGCTCCGACTATTACTTGAACACAATTTTCTTTACTTTGCAAATTTTTGCTGTTGTAAATTTTTTGCACTTTATTTTTAAACTAATTTGTGAATTTTTCAGTTGTGTTGTKTTCTATTGCTGTAGAATTGATTTGAATTTGCTTTTCGTGCAAATCGAAACTTTCACTGCAATTGGGAAGGGAAGGATGAAAAATTAAGAGGATTTATGAATTTCTCATTTAAATTCCAAACACCAGACACACGTTTGAACACAATGAACTATTTGAATTCGACGAACAAACTGCGATTTCGCCGTCGAATTTCTGAACACAATTTAAATGTAGCTTTGCTTTGTTGCGCGGCTCAACTATTTGCAGAATTTTCWAAGAATTTCTCTATTTTACAGGCACTTTGCAGAGGAATCTTTCACTTTACTTGAACACTTTGAATGTATACTTCAGCGAATATATTATATATATATATATATATGTATGTGAGTATTGGCAGTTGAGTAGGTATATATATGTAYGTATGTATTTATATGACACGCAAACGTCCGTTCAAAGAAAAGAAAGAGATCCGCACCGTACGCGCGCCGTTGGCGAACTGAATTTACAAAGCTCCGTGGCACGGCGACGCACCGAAAGCTAAGCGCTATGAAGTCACCGAAGCGAGCAGCATACTTGGCCACCTCAGTCACTTAGTCAGCGCAGCGGCGGCGTTGATGGCAGTGTTAGCAGTTGGCTATTGGCTTTAGGTGCTTGCAAAGAGCGTGGCGAGAGTGCAGAGCGCAACAACTTAGATGAGTATGAGGCTTTACAATAGCCTAATGCTTGAGTATGTGTGTGTGTGTAGATATGTATGCGCGCTGGCATGTGGGTTTAACGGTGTGTGTTTCTGCACTTGAGCGCACCTTAATCTTTTTCGCCACATACACACACACACACACACACACGCACATACAGTATACATATTTGTAACTATATTCGCGTTGACTGTGTGTGTGCGGATATTTGCTATTTGCTCGTTTGCTGTTAGGCAATAAACGCTGCGCGTTGACTTCTTAGCCTACGCGGGCGCGCGCTCAACCCGCGCACCAAAGCGCACCAAACCTGTGGTCCATTTTTGGCCACTGCCATCTACAACGACTACTACTTTTCGCTTCACCTTCTGCAGCGCCCACATCTTTCCCTATCAAGTAGTACTATTTCTGCTTCTGCGCCTCCCTCTTCTTCTGCTCCGTCCATTGGTCATGTTGCCTCTGCATTAGCGCGCTAATAAAAGTCATTGATGTGTTGTTGATATTGTTGTTTTTCGTACGAASTAAAGTTGGCTGCTGCAGAGGCCGCTTGGAAATGGAATCGCTTAAACGATTTTTTTTTGTCTGCCTTGGCTGGGTATTTTCGGCTGAATCAAGTTTATTGCCGCAATTTCTAGAGTAGGCTGTGGATGGTAGCGATGGCTGCGCAGCAGTGTTGCGCGGTGCAGGCGGCAGCATTTGGCTAAAAAGTCATTTATTAGCGCTACATTTGATCATCGCTGGCGTATTTGTTGGACATC